GGAGGAGGGGGAGCCCAGAGAGAGGAAGGGGGGCTGAGAGGGAGCGGGTCCTGGTTGTGCTGGGCTGCATATCTGACGCTTTGGCCAGACGGGTCATGCTGTGCTGTCTGTTCCTAAAACACATAGATAGGAAGGTACTGACATCAGGCCAGCCCTTGAGATATGGTCTCATGGCCCCTTCCCAGCACGCAGGCCTTCTTTCTCAGAAGGCCCGGAAGTCTCATTCCAAATTTGGGAGACAAAGGATGGGAAAAATACAAATAAAGAGAGTTTCCTCCATATTGGGGGCCCAGAATTTGAAAGACACATTTTTCTCTGGGCCTCCACAGAACTTAATAAAATGTAACTCCTGTAGTCTGCTCTGCAGTTCAGCCTCTGCTTCGGCAGGGTGCTGTAACTGTAGTTGCTGGCCAGCTCAATAAATCCTGGCTTGCTGTTTATGACCTAATTGGAGTCGGTGGTCTTATTCTCCAAATGTCACTCCACAACACTGGTGAGCAGAAGTGGGGGCCGCACAGGAGCAGGCACTTCAGACAGAGACACGGGTTCAGAGGAGAAGAGTTGGGGAGCGATTGCAGGGACAGAAAGGGGGGCTCAGGGATGAGGGAGCAGAGGGAGCAGCCCTGAGTCAGCAGCTGTGGGAGCGGGACAGACGGGAACAGGCAGCAGAGGGGCGGCGGGCTTGGGGAGGGCAAGACGCAGACGTGTGTGGAGATGGAGCCTCAGAGACCAGGAGGAAGAGCCCCTGAAGGGAAGTAGGTTTCAGGAGTTTCATGGTCCAGATGTAGGACAGACAGAGAGAAAAGGAGGGAGAGAGCAGGGGAGAGGGGGGACACAGTAAAGGACCACAGTGGAGAGAAAGGGAGCAGGAGACAGAGACAGATCCACAGACAGGAATACATGTAGTGGGAGGAGGGGAACCCTGATCTCGGTGAGGGGTGAGCAGATGGGGTCGTGGATGGTTAAGTTGTGATATATCGGCTGTGGATATATATATATCTGTTCATCTCCAGGAGGCAGGGAGAGGGAAAGAATTAGAAACATCAATGAGAAAACACAATCATTTATCAGCTTCCTCCTGCAGGCCCCTCACTGGGGATCAAACCTGCAACCTGACCATACGCCATGACTAGGAATCTAGGTCACTGAGTTATGCCGCCGAGGTGTGCCTTTTTACATTTAATTTAACAGCTGGATTGTCTTAGTCATACAGATTGAATGAGAATTATAAATCTCCAGCTTATAAGGCTTGGGAATTTTATAATGATTTGTTTCCAATTGCAACCATTATTCACTCAGACGGGTGAGACTTGTCTGTTGGTCCTGGGTCCCTTGTCATTTCCTGGGATGCAACGAGGAAGTGACCTGTGTCTGTCACCATTTGATCCTTTTTTATCAGGACTATTTAAAGCCTTAGCTTTGTTGCTGTGGGGTGTGTGTGTGTTCTGTGGATTTACTTTTTCTATGTCTCACTATTTATTATTTGAAAACATCCTGAGATAAATCCTCTGGGTCTTCTCAGATCCCCTGAGGAGATTAAAGAAATGCCCTCAGGTGCACTTTCCCCCATGGAGTTGGACAGCAGCTCTGGGTGGGGCATCCTTGGTTACTGAGTTGCTCCAGGTGATTGGAAGGTGAGTACGGGGATAGCAGGAGTGGTGCAGGATGCCTTTGTGAGAGTGGGGAGCAGGCTTTGTTCGGGGAGGTAAGGGTGTGCTCTGGTTTCCGGCGTCAGGACAGCAGCTCACCTCATTTCTGTAGGAGTAGTGGAATCTTTGGGAGGAGAGACACATGAAGACGAAATAAAACACCTCACAGTGTGGTCTCCATGTAGGTGCTCATTGTTCCTGTCTCTCCTGTGACCATGGACAAGAGGGGTGGCCTTTTCTTCATTTCCAGGTCCTTCTGACTGTGAGTGTGAGGGGAGCTGATTAACAGGCTATGCTGACATCTTTGAAGGCACATTCTGTGACTCCTTAACATATTGTCACCTGAGAAGACAACCCACACCCCGATCAGGACCAGGACCAAATGGCTGCTTCTCAGGTAAAAGATGTGTCCTGGGTCAGAGGCTCTGTTTCCTTTTCCTCTGACATCTGGTGATTTATTTCTCTACTCTGATGTTCTTGTCTTTGCAGGTTGTTTTTCTTTCCCTATTTTATTACTTTATTCATCACAGTCAATGTCAGCAGTTTCTATATTTCTCTTTCTTTTTTTTTGTGTTTTTCCTGTCTTTTTAAAATATATTTTTAATTGCTTTCAGAATGGAAAGGAGAGGGAGAGAGATATAGAAACATCAATTAGGTTAGGTAATCATGGGTCAGCTATTTCCTGCATGCACTGGGTATGGAGTTTGAAGCCTGGAGTGTGCCCTGACCAGGAATCTAAGCCTGCCCTCCTGGTTCATAGATCAGCCCTCTACCTCTCAGCCACGCTGTCTGGGTTATACTCCCCTCCATTGTGCCAGAGCCTTGTCTGCATGCATTTTGTCACCTTCCCGAGGTCAGGAAGCATTTCTACCTTTAATCAGTGACTTTCAACTTCTCAAAATGTCCCTTTTGTGACAGATCAAACTTGGAAGGCAGCCATGTCTAACATCCTTATTGGGATGGTGTCAGAGACTGGAAATGTCCCTCTTATTAGAGGCTGAGGTATCAGTGAAGAAAGCAAATGCAGGTTTTAGTTTCATGTGGCTGCAGCATGAGCTATAGATCAAGGATAAGAAGATGCACATCTGACTGCTCAGAATAGCTCAGAAAGTTCTGAAAAAAAGGGCAAATAAAAAAAAAAGGGCAAGTAGAAGAGACATGCTCATTATTGTAGTACGAGAGACTTGATAGGTAAATGCACTGTTAGCTTACAGAGCATGAGAGGCACAGGTGCATTGACATTTGCAAAAACTAATGTTTATTTGTAATCATTTCCACATATTTATTTATTGAGGTATTTTTGGCAGTAATGTCACAGCAGTGGTGACCTGACCTTCCATGTGCCTCAGTCACCTGATGCCCATTGTCTCAGTCCACCTGATGTTCTGCCCATTGTCTTAGTCCACCTGATATTCAGGTGGCACAGGTGCTTCCCTCACTATACTGTTAATAGTCTCTCTTTCTCAGTAACAAGGGTGTAGAAGGGATTTAATGAAAGTTGTGCAAAGACCATCACTTCACATCTGGAAATGTCCCTCTTGTTAGTTTGCGTTTGCTTTGGAAAATGAATGACTTTTATTTCCTACAGATCATTGGCTTTTTCATGGGAGCTTTAAACAATTAGGCCTTGATTCTTCACATTTTCCTTATATTCTATACTCACATGAGAGACATACGCTACACCAGCGGTTCTCAACCTGTGGGTCACGACCCCTTTGGGGGTCGATGAACCCTTTCACAGGGGTCGCCTAAGAACATCGGAAAACATATATAATTACATATTGTTTTTGTGATTAATCACTATGCTTTAATTATTTTTAATTTGTAACAATGAAAATACATCCTGCATATCAGATATTTACATTACGATTCATAACGGTAGCAAAATTACAGTTATGAAGTAACAACAAAAATAATTTTATGAAAAAAATAAATAAATAAATAAATTTATGGTTGGGGGTCACCACAACATGAGGAACTGTATTAAAGGGTCGCGGCATTTGGAAGGTTGAGAACCAGTGCCCTACACTATCATTTCTTGTATTTTCTAAAAAGTTTTCGCCCTAGCTGGTTTGGCTCAATGGATAGAGCGTTGGCTTGGGGACTGAGGGGTCCCGGGTTCGATTCTGGCGAAGGGCACATGCCTGGGTTGCGGGCTCCATCCCCAGTGGGGGCGGAGGGAGGGGGTGTGCAGGAGGCAGCCAATCAATGATTCTCTCTCATCATTGATGTTTCTCTCTCCTCCTCTCCTTTCCTCTCTAAAATCAATAAAATATATTTTTTTAAAATAACAATAAAAAAATTAAAAGTTTTCAAAAATGACATTATTTTTTTTTATTATTGCTTAAAGTATTACAAAGAGTATTACGTATGTCTCCTTTTTTTTCTCTCCGCCCTTGACAATCCCCCGGCGTCCCCTACCCCCTAGTGTCTTATGTCCATTGGTTATGCTTATATGCATGCATACAAGTCCTTCGGTTGAACTCTTACCCCACCCCCTTGCCCCCCAACCCTCTCCGGCCTTCCCGCTGTAGTTTGACAGTCTGTTCGAGGCAGCTCTGCCTCTGTATCTATTTTTGTTCATAAGTTTATAATGGTCTTTATTATCCATAAATGAGTGAGATCAAGAATGACATTATTAATGTATCTTCAGTTTCATTAAATTTCTACAACATAGCTCTCCACTAATGATACATAAAAATTTTGAAAGAAATGTTGTAATAAGAAAAATTAGTTCCCCTAGGCTGGTACGATGTTTCTCTCTCTTTCACATTGTTCTTTCTCTCTCCTCTCTCTCTCCTCCCCCTCTATTTCTATCCCTCTCCCTCCCCCTCTCCCTCTCTCCCTCTTCTTTTCCCGCCTCTACCTCCCTGCCTTCCACTCTTCAAAAGTCAATGGAAAATATCTTCTCATGGGAGGATTTACAAGCACACAAAGGAAAACAATAGTCTAACTTGTTTTCTATTTTTACCTTTTCTCCTTATTGTGTTTATAAAACACAAAGGGGATCATACACAAATAGATTCATGAGATTTATGCAGTCACTAAACCATCCTGATTTCATAGTTGTAAAATGTGTGTCTCTGTACCTAAACTGTTAGCGTTATTTTAGCTGTGTTTTCTTTGTGTTTTTTTCCATGTACCAGTATATTTTTATGGACTTCAGGGAGGAAATGAGAGGTAGAGATAGATAGGAACATTAGTGATGAGAGAGAATCATTGACCGGCTGCCTCCTGTACACCCCACACTGGGGATATTGACTGCAACCTGTTCGTGTGTCTAGACCACGAATGGAGTGAGTGACCACTTGTTGTATGGGTCAGCACACAAGAGCCACACCTGCTGGTCCAGGCAGAATAATCTTGTTTTAAGATTACTCATAATAAATTTCCAAATAGCATTGAGGTTACTATGAGTCCTATTCCATGAAAACTGGATTCCGTTAACAAACCCTTTTAGTTCAAAGTTCTGTATGAATTTTTCTTTGCGTTTTCTTTTTCTGTGTAATCAGAAGTGTGGCACATGATGGGGAAACATCAGCATCACAAGTAAAAAGTGAGCTTGTTACACAAGTGGAAACACAGGGCCCATCTCCTGGATCAGATCAGAGATTGTATTTTTATAGAAGTTCATTTCTTTGTGGTCTGCTTCACACTTGAGAAGAACTCCATATACTTCCAACCAGCGTGACCTTTCCCGCTGAGAAATATACATCACTGACCCTGAACGATGTAAATGCAGCCTTCAGAAATCTATAAGCCTGTGTCCATGCCTTAATTTTACTTTATTTTCCTGTAAAGGAAAATCTGTACTGTGGATTTGTAGATGTTTGTCATCCTCATGTGTCAGTGTTAGAAAACACATCAGAGAATATTACTGGGGCAAAATGATCTTACTGTATAGTTCAGGATACCCCCTATGGTCAAAACCTCTTCTCCTAACACTGTTTTCATGTTGGGTGACATTATGAACTCTTCTCGTGACCTCTTGTTAACTGTCTTTTCTTTCAGGAACAGTTGTCCTTCATGGATGTGGCCATAGATTTCTCTCAGGAGGAGTGGGAATGCCTGGACCCAGCTCAGCGGAAATTGTACCTGGATGTGATGTCGGAGAACTACAGCAACCTGGTCTCCGTGGGTGAGGATGACTTCCTTCCCGAGTTCCTTCTCAATCCTCAGGGCTTTGTTTCCTTTATTATATTAACATCTCTAGGGGCTTCTGCTTTCTGTGTTAGATTCTTGCTCTCAAGGAACAAATTGAGCCCCAGCTCGTTGGGCTCAATGGATTGAGGGCCGGCCTGCAGACTAAATGGTCCCCGGTTTGATTCTGGTCAAGGACCAATGCCTGGGTCCTGTAGGGTGCGTGCAGGAGGCAACCAATCAATGATTCTCTCTCATCATTGATATTTCTGTCTCTCTTTCCCTCTCCATTTTTCTCTGAAAGCAATAAAAATTTATGTTTTTTAAAAGAGTTACATATTGGGTATCACAGCTTTGTGATATATGTGAATTAGGAACTCAGTGTTTGCACACTTTACATGTTGTCTACACTAATTAAGGTGCTGTCAGAAAATGATAT